TTCTTGACAATGTTTAAGGACTTAATTGAATTCTTGCAATATGATTTTTCAAGTTTGTGAACTTGTCCACAAGTAGGTAAACTCTGGCTATCACAGCATTTGGAAAAGTTCCTATAAAATCTATCCACTGAACTGGGGTCAAAACAGACTTTTTGAGATTGAATTGAAGGCCTAAACTGTGGAACAGAGACCTTGTCATTGGTTAAGATTGACCCCTGAGAAGCCAATCATTGAGATGAGGGAAGACAACTATACCTAGTCAACGTAGGTGGGCAACTACAACTGCCATGGTCTTGGAGAATACTCTTGGGCAGAGGAGAGTCCGAAAGAGAGCACATGGTATCAGAAGTGATTGTGGTCGACTGTAAAATGAAACTTCTGTGAGAAGAGTGAATTGCGACATGAAAATATGAAACCTGAAGGTTGAAAGTCACAAACAAATCTCCAGAATCTAAGGAGCAAATTACAGCTGCAAGAGTCACCATCCTGAATTTCTGCTATTTCACATAATTGTTTGGATGTCTGACATATAATATTGGTCTCCATCCTCCATTCTTTTTTGGGAACAAACTTGGAATAGAACCCCTTTCCCCTGTATTGGACTGGAATTGGTTCTATAGCTCCTAAGCATAGAAGGGAAGTGACTTCCTGCCTCACCTATTGAGAGATGGGTCCCTGAAAAGGGATGGAGAAAAGGGCTGGGATGGAGGGATGGAAATGAAATACATTGAATAATTGATATTACGACTTCCAAAACTCATTTGTTGGATGTTATTCTCTTCTGTGCAGGTTGAAATTGGGAGAAGTGTTATCCAAAGGTGGGGAGGAGGATAGAATAGCACAGCTATAGATTCTTGTGGAATGGATGATCTGGACTCTTGACCAAGTCATCAAAACTGGCACTTGGACAAAACAGAGGGCTGGGATGAGGTACCTGTTGCAGTTTGTAGCTTCTTTTTAGAGAACCTAGGACTCTTGGCAGGTGATTCAGAGGGTCTATGGAAACTAGAGAAATGAACTGGGTAAGATCTCTGAGTTGTCTGAGACCTGCTAAATTTTCCTTTATTTGAAGGTATATAAATCCCAAGGGATCTACGCGTGGCCCTCAAACTTTTAAAGCGTGATGAACTGGGTAAGATCTCTGAGTTGTCTGAGACCTGCTAAATTTTCCATTATTTGAAGGTATATAAATCCTAAGGGATCTACGCGTGGCCCTCAAATCTTTTAAAGCGTGAAGAAAGTCATCGGTAGACTCAGCAAACAATTTGAGACCATCAAAAAGGAAGTCCTCAACAGTACTCTGCCCCTCTTTAGGGAAGCTGCACAACTGAAGCCATGAAGCTTGATGCATCACAATCACAGTGGAAATGGACTGTGCTGCAGTATCAGCTGAATCTAAGGAGGCCTATAATGACATTTCCACTAAGAGTTGCCCTTCATTTATGATGGCCTTAAATTGCTTGTGGTGCTCCTCTGGCAAATGCTCAATAAAGGGGTTACATTTATTATAATTCAGATAGTCATATTTTGACATGAATGCTTGTTGGTTAGCTATTCTGAATTGTAATGTTGCAGAGGAGTAACTCTTATGACTGAAGACATTGAGTCACTTCTGGTCTTTGTTGTAAGGGGTAGACTTAGCACTGTGTGCATTCATTAACTGTCCACAACCAGGAAATTTGGTGTTGCGTGTTAAAATAAAAACACTGAGTCCTTGGCTGGAACATAGTAGTTGTTTGTCAGCATTTTTTACAGATGATCTTAGCAAGCTCTAGCAAAAAACAGGGCAACACATATATAAATGTCCAGGAGTTTATGATGAGAATCCTGGACATTTATAAAGGAATATTAAGCATAAGCAGTTCGTTTCTTCAGCTCCTGGAATCGTCTAAGGTTATCTGCCATGGAAGGTGGCGGAGGCATTACAGCCTCATCTGGCTATGATGATGAAATATTTGTGTGAGATGTTGCCTCGTCAGCCCTTACCTCCTGCTCCTCAAAGATCTCCTCTAATGGTTCAGGTTGACACGATGGGAGTGAAGACAATGGAAAATGATTCTGCCTATGCTCCTTATGAGTGTGCTTTTGGGCCCTTATGAACTGTTGGTGATATAGGGCCCAGGGGTCCCATTAAGGCCACTGTGGGGCCCACAGGGCATGGGAGGAGGCATCTTCTGTTGATCATACCAGGTAGACAAGGGTCGAAGTCATCTGTCCTCTCAGAACGGACAGCAGAATAAACAAGAGAACACTATACAAAAATCTGTCATAAGAGTCATTGTCAACATATTCAAGGGGAGGTGATACTTGTTCACTCTGGATGGTCAAAACGGTATAGAAGGAGGTCCCAATGAAAAATATGGAGTTGATAACCCAGAGGATCTCGGTGCAAACAGATGTCCAGTACCATTAATGGGGACTTTGGCTCATTCAAGACAAGGTTCTTTGAATACGAGACTCCTGCAGTGCCAAAGGTATGTAGGCAGGAGTTAAACGAGATCCTGTGGTGGCCGGCTTCAGTACCAAGTTTGGTATCTGTCTTGAGTGTATGTGTGCTCTAGACCCTGAGTATTTGGTATCAGAATGTCCAGGGTCAGACTCAGCACTATCAATGCAGAGCTATAGGATAATGGCATAGCTACTGGGGATACAAAAGTGTCTGATGTGACAAAATTCTTTGGCACAGAACGTCTACTGGTATGGATATGATTACCTAAAGATGAAGTTGTCTTTAGTACCATATCCTCTTTGGTAGAAGTATGGCTCTTAGAGGACACTTTAGATATCCTCAGAGTACTGGAGTCACAGGAAGCCTCAACACAACTCCCTTTGGGACCTGAGGTCTCCAGAACATTTTTCTCAGAAAGTGACTGAGACGTCTTAGAAGGAGATCTAGGACTCCTACTTTTCTTACCAGTACCCAGAGACTTAGAATGTGAAGCTCCCTGTACTGTGGATACTGGGGCAGATGCTGGCTTCCTTGAGAATTTCAATGACCGAAACCCAGAGGTGGGTGGGGTAGCAGCAACAGTATTCCCTGAGGCTATTAGTGACAAGGATACTGAAGTAGATGGGGTACTAAGTGTGCTTAGAGGCCAAGTGCAAGGAGGTTCTCAGAGTTCAGGTCGGAGACCAGTCTTAGGGCTTGCTCAATCATCAATAATTTGATTTTGATCCCTCTGATTCTTTTTTTTTTTTTTTTTTTTTTTTTTGAGATCTGCTTTTGAAGGAGGAGCAGGTCTTACACTTACTCAGGATATGGGTGTCCCCCAAACAGCAGAGTCACCAAGAAAGTTTGTCATTGACCAGGATAGCTGCCGGCAGGAAAGTCTGGGAATCCTCCCATACCACAGAAAAGAAGTCTAAAACCACCCCTCAATCAGGAAAAAAAACTAATAAAAGGGGAACAACAATCCCAACAAACAACTAACTAACTATACTATACCAAGAACAGCCTGAGTAAAGAGGGCATGCTTGATGCTCCATCTCAGGCCAAGGGTTGTTGAGAAGGGACAAAGGGTAGTTTGCTCATACAGCCCTATGTATTCTTGACTTGGGGCATGAGGATTTGCAGGGCACATGTGAAGGATGAACAGACACTGCTACTGAAAATCTCTGATCAAAGGTATATGGAGGCACATGCACACCTGAAGTAGAGCATCCATAGGGACACTACTCAAAGAAGAATCCCCTTTACAGTGGTCTAAAACTCCTGTTGCTAGCCCTCCAGGGCTATAAGATACCATATCAGACTAAGTTTGTGATATTTTTACACATAGAATTGCTGTTACTGACTCAAATCTCTGGAGATGTCCTCACAGAAAATAATGTGCTGCCCCATTCCACATTACATTCTGTGGCATACCCCTCCAACTGAAACATTACCTGAGTGGTGGGTTGGGGACAGCAGATAGTTGGACACATATCTGCAAAGGAAGTGTTAGCATAGGACGGGAGTGCCCTGAAGAACAGTGCAATCACTTGACCTCTCTATCAATGTCTCTGCTGCTTTGGTAGATCTCAACCTCTGCACTTTCATTAAGAGGACGGAGACGCAAACTCAGGGCAGGTCTAAACTACAGCTGGGATCGACCCACCAGCGGTCGATTTAGAGCGTCTAGTAAAGACCTGCCAAATCGACTGCAGATTGCTCTCCAGTTGACCCAGTACTGTACCCCCGACAAGAAGAGTAAGGTAAGTCGACCCCCCATGGTGTAGGCCCCGCGGTAACTCGACCTAAGGTACTTCGACTCCAGCTACGTGAATTTCCTGGTCCCTAATGTAATTTTTTCCTGTACAGGGGATGAATTTTTCCCTACCAAAACTACAATATACACGAAATAAAAAGGCTACTATGGTTAAACCAAAAGCTTTTTCCTCTTTGTTTACCTATAAACTATATGACTCATCCTTGATACTATGATATCTTACTTAGATTTATATGCTACACAAATGAAAGGATAACAATAATAAAAAGAATCCTGAAAAGAAAATGCTTATTTCTTATACCTGCTTGTAATCATATTTATATAAAATGTGGTGTTCAGTAATAAAATTCTAAATAATTCTCTTTGTGGATTATACAGTTTAGTAACTAATATAGAAGATATAAGCCATCATTTACAAGAAGATGCCATCTGCTGAGCAAAAGTATAATCAGCAGGCAATTTCTATTATAGCCAAAATCTTTTTCTTCCTTTATTGATTTTCTCCATTGCTTTCCTAAAGCCCCCCAAGCAATCTGAGCCAGTGTAGCAAATGAAGAAAGCATAGGACTTCTCAATGACCTCAATATCAATTCTGCTTTGTACTTTACCCTGTCTCAAGGCTATGGACCCGATAGGTTAGTTCAAGCAAGAGACAGAAAATAGTATATACAGTATGTACACACACACACACACACATTCAGAGCAACTGAGTAGAAATGACAGGTTAACCTTTCGAATTAAGCCTAATAAATTTGTAGTTTTAAAACAACTTGCAGATATTACACTATTCACCTGTATATCAGTTAACTGATTCTTCGTGGTACTCTTTTTGTGCTCCAGTTGTTGTTCTGCTTGTTTCTTCTGTTCATCTAGTTCTTGCATTTTCTGATTCAGATTGTAAAGTTTCTGGAAAATATATGCATAGACAGATGTATTAGTATTCAAAAGTAATTGTCCTTTTTTCTTTGGGAAATTATAAAACACATTAGCCATTAAATACTTTTCTTTAAAAGTTTCCATTTATAAGTTCATCTTTAGTTTCACTTAAACTACAATTTTTTCATCTAGTTCACTTAGTAGCTACAGTATATATTCATGTGTATGCATTCAGAAACACTTCAAACTATATAAATAGCATTTTAAACATACACACCTAGCTATGTTGATTCATATATTGTATTCTGTCACATAGCAAAATATCACTGTTTCACCACTGATTATAAGCAAAATCCTTTCTTCCCAGTGGTTCTATGAGTTTATTTTGCCAGCTAACCAATAGACTTTCTATGTTCAAAACAGAGAAACGAGGTGGGTTAGGTAACATCTTTTATTGGACCAACATTTGTTGGTGAGAGACAAGCTTTCGAGCTTACCCAGAGCTCTTCTTCAGCTCTGGGTAAGCTCGAAAGCTTGTCTCTCACCAACAGAAGGTGGTCCAATAAAAGATATTACCTCACTCACATTATCTCTCTAATATCCTGGACCCAACACAGCTATAATAATACTGTTTTCAAAATATGTGTTCTGAATGGTCTATATGAAAATAGCATAAGGGAGGCAAGAAATACTTATGGTTTAGTGACTGTGAATTAACAAGGGAAATAGTACTTAGGAGAGCTACTAAGAAACCGTAAGAAGAGAAAGAATACCATATTGGGATTTCTCATTTTTACATCATTCACTAATCCAGTGTGTTATTAATTAACATAACCAGAAAATTAGTTTTTAAAATATCTGCTGTACTAAACACATTTACATCATTGGTATAAGTGCAAACTACTAAATGATAGAAGTCGTTACTAACATATATAATGACTAAGTAAAATTTGTAAATTACTCTTTACGTATACAAAAAATATACAATAATAAAGTTATTCAAAGTGTTTTATTTGATAAATTATGAAATTATGTATCATATGTAGCAGCATTAAATATAGCATTCACATTCTAATTCACTTGCAATACTTTCAATTTTTAATCAAAGAGTTTAAGTTCTTCCTTGAAATTACTAACATTTTTTTAATATTATTCAGATACAAACCTGCTTGTGCAAACATTGTTTCCAAGCTTTTAAGACAGAAACAAATATACAGCTAAAGACAAGGATATATAACTCATACCACACCCCTCAAGATCTCCAGAAGACTAATGATGTGATCTTTGTCACATTGTTTCTAGTAAATTTTACTTAGGGAAGGGCTAACAACATTAATCACTGTCATTAACATGTTGTTTTGAAATTACTATTAGCTATTAGAAATATCTTTTTGTAGTTTTATGTAGCAGTTGTGACTTATTATACCTGCATCACAAATAAACGATCTCAATTATTTTAACATACTTTAAAAAGAGAAAAAGGAAAAATTGAGTTCCTGTAGGAAGTGAAGGCAGAGAAAGAAGAGGGTCTAGACCAGGGATTTTGTTTGTTTACCTGCTGCATCTGCAGGTTCAGCCGATCGCGGCTCCCACTGGCCGCGGTTCGCCGCTCCAGGCCAATGGGGGCTGCGGGAAGCGGCGCGGGCTGAGGGATGTGGAAGCCGCGATCGGCCGAACCTGCGGACGCGGCAGGTAAACAAACATGCCGAAGGTTGCCAATCCCTGGTCTAGACTGACAAGTCTGACTCAATAGTCAGAAAACTGAACTCAGAGTAAATTGTAGATGAGATTGCTTGGGAAAATTCTTCCAGTAGAGATGGAAGTCTTCACTACCTTAAGTGTAATTCTGCAAAAGAAGATTCATGTGAGTTGGAAGAGGTCATGGAAGTTTTCATACCAAGGCTTTGATTTGAGAACCAAAACTTGTGTGTCTAAATTAAATCTGACGGATTCACAAGACAAAAGTGATTTTTTTCTGAGAACTTTCTGTAAAAGTAGTATGGCTTTTTGTTAAAGCCATACCAGAATTCTTGACTCCAATCCTGGACAAAAAATCCATTAAATGGCCAGGTTTGTTCCCTGTTGTGTCTGGAACATAACTGAAGGCAGTTTACATTCTCTTTGGTAGCAAAGAAGTCTGTTTGAGGAGTCTACTACTTTCAGAAGATCAAAGCAGTAACTGTGTTTTTGAGAAACCACTTATGTTGACTAGTGTGTTTTCAATTCAGGTTGTTAATGTTTTCTTTGTTAGGCAAGTGAAGCAGCATACACTTTTCCCAGATCCAAAAAGCTTCTTGTCACACTGAACAAAAGTGAGCTCCTGCATGCCTGTTCATACAACACATGGCAGTGATCAAGAGAAGAAAGGCATACGCAAAACTTAGAGCTAGCATGCTGATGTGAACTACAGTCTCCTCACAGTTTCAGAGATCCTGGATTGTATGATCATCTAAGTAAGATCCACAAGGCATGTTAGAAGCACTTGTTGCAATCACCGTGGAAGATTGAGAATAACTGAAAGGTTCTCCCGAACACACATGCCTTACTGCTAATCTCAGTATCATCTACCTTAATAGCAAGACTACCGTGTTCTGTGGCATAGTTCCTAAGGACTAAGGCCTCGTCTACACTAAAAAGTTAGATAGACTCAGCTACATCGTTCAGGGGTGTGAAAAATCTACACCCCTGGGAGACGTAGTTAAGCCAACCTTGTGACGGTCTATACTATTATGGTCATAACTTTTACAACTCTGCGATAAATTTTGAACAAAGTATGCCTTGTCATAATAAAATATGTGTATCAACATTATATGTAAAGCTATATGTTTCTACTGCATAATATTGCTGTAACGTGTTCCAGAGTTAGAAAGGCAGGTCCAAACTAGTTTTTCAGAGACAAAGACACAGTAGCACCCAAGCCAGGTGTTAAAGAGACAGTTCAACCCTCACGTCTGCAAAAGACTATTTGTTGCCTACACCCCAATTGGGGGTAATCCTCCAAGAGGAGAAAGTGGTATAAGAGAGACACAGTGGCCTCCATTTCAGCGCTTCTTCTCCCATCTCTCTGCTCATGACATCAACAACTTTCAAAGAACTGAACTAAAGGGGGAGTGGTCCCAGGCTGGAAGGAGGCCCAACCTGTGAAATTTACAACAGCATATGGTGAGACAAAACCTTTGCTTTTAAGTTCACTTAGCTTGTTAAATTACGTATTAGTTTGCGTATTACTCTTATTTTCTTTTGTAGCCAATCCTGACCTTTATGCATCAATACTTACAAGTACTTAAAATCTATCTTTCTGTAGTTAATAAATTTATCTTATTGTTTTATCTTAACCAGTGAGTTTGGATTAAAGTGTGGGGGAAACTCCATTTGGGATAGTAAAGCTGGTGCATATATCATTTTCCTTTTATGAAAAGATAGAGTTTCTATGAGCTTGCATTGTTCAGTAGTGTGCTGGACAGTACAAGATACATATTTCTGGGGGAAAGTCTGTGACTAATAATTTCCGGGTGTCATCCTGTATGTAATTCATGAGTGACTGGTCAGAGTGCTCATTTATTTAGCTGGGAGTGAATTTGCTTGCTGAAGGCTGTGTGAGAGGCCAGGAATGGCTACTCTGACAGCATAGCTGTGTAAAAGGAACCCCAGGCTAGGGAGTTAAGGGGACACTGCTGTTCAATAGTCTAGATTATATCCTGGGGAAGGTCACAAACCTCACCCCCAGTGTAGACAGCGCTAGGTTCCGTCGACCTAGCTACCACCTCTCAGGGAGAAAGATTAACTACAGTGATGGGAAAACCCCTCCTGTCAACACAGGTAATGTCTACACTAAATGCTACAGCTGTGCTGCTGTGGCAGTTCAAATGTAAACATGCCCTAAATTATTCTGCTGAGGATAATACATAGGCTATCAACAAAACCTGCAGAGACCTTTTCCTGAGTCTTGCAAGGCTTCCTCTATGGCTCCTAACTGGAGATGGGAAATTATTTTGTTCTTTAGCTCCTTGTCAAGAAAGTGATATACAAAAAAGGGGACTGGGAATGAGCACGAACTGGAATCTCTTTTTTTAAACTATATCTAACACTGATTTTTCTGAAGAAATTCTGTTTTATGCTGCCTTGTGGGGAGGAAAAATCAGTCTGAAAAAGACTAGGAAAAGAAAGACTTTGAGGCATGACCTGTTGGGGGTTCTTGACCACCTTGTCAAACTTGTTTCTTACAAGATTCAGAACTAGAGAGAATGGAATTGCAGGTGGAGGATGTTCACTGTATCCTCAGTTTACCCATGTGGCAAGGAAAATAAGGTTGCAGTTGAGTCTACTAATGATTAAGGTGTCAGGTGTGTGTAAAGATGCTCAAAGGCTTGCTGATGAACTTGGTATAGCTTACCTTGGCTGATCTATGGGCCGTTAGACAAAGTGTCTCACATTACATGAACGATTTTCTTTTTGTCTTCATAAATAAATCTTATTTGGGGACAAACAAAGGTGAATAGCTCTTCTAATTTTTGATGGCCAGAAGGAATCGTCAATTATTAATGATTCAAGGCATATCTGTCACATATATCCCTTACACCCTGCATCAGTCCCCCTCCAGTTTCAGCCCTCTTCCTGCACAGAGATCTTGTTTGAGTCATGGTGCCTATGAATCTTCAGTTCCAATTATGATGTCAGTGATGTTTCTCCATAAAATCTCCTCTCCGCATCTGATCAAAACTCCAGAATGCTCAGTAGCATCCTGTTCCAATCCACTGTGCTTCCAACAATCAGTAAGCAGACTTAAACAGTCAGGATACTTTTGAGATGCCTCTGAGCACTTCGTTGATGATGAGGATTTCAAACTTGCTGAAGTGTTTAGTTAACTGGAACTGATGGGGACGAAAACACTACAGTACTACTTCTCTGAGGAAAGATCTCTGACTCTTATGGGCTTCTGATGGAGAGGGAACAAAAATGTAGCTTGTCTTCTGGGAGTACCCCATCAGAGAAGTACAGAGGACGGTGAACATGTTGGTCCACAAATGACA